GGATCCCACTGCACTCTTTCCGTTTACTCCACCACAACACCATAACCATTCTTGTCTTATGTTTGTTTAAATAGCTATTTTTCTGATATAATACCTAAGCCCTAACCAGCTAGCTATAGACCAAAATAAACAGTAAAAGTAGAAAAACATGTTGAGTTAAGGAGCAAACCATAAGGAAATTCTTTGTTTCTTCTCCACTGAATCTCGATGTGATCGCCCGGATGCAAATCAGGTAGACAATCCGAGATATGAAGATCATGTGGAGGAGTGTCAACAGGTGGTGCTCTTAACCTTTCCCATGGAATGCTATGCTCAATTGCAATTGCCCTTCTTCCATGTGGTGGATACCTACAATAAACAATTAATCTATAATTAGGCCACTAGATCTATCCTCTTTTTCCTCCTTTTCTACTCCTCTATTTTCTTTAATGGAAACTCATAAAAAAATTCGGAAGAATTTTTCTTTCAACGACTGATGGGAACATACATATAAAAACTAAGAATCATGTCCAATTACCTGGCTTGGAAGGTGTCAGTGTGAGGATCATAGCTAAGCTCAGCATCATAGCATGATAACATAAATCCAACATGGCCATTCTGCAGTGAAAAATGTAACTTGTGGGAAAAACACAATCTTCTAGTCTATTTACCATAAAAAAAAACTAGCATGATAGACCATGAATTTTCAATAAGAAAATCACAAAGGGGTTCAAAATCATAGATACCTCGCGGTTATAGACCTGAGCAGGAAACCAGAAGTTGCCAGTCTCAAGAGCAAGATACCATGTCATAGATGAATCACGAGGCAAATAACTTGGCGTCTTGATGCTATTATCTGCATCCACCTTCGTTCTCATCCATGAAAAAGGCCAACGAAAGGACACAAGCCTCATCAAGCTACTTTGCTTGCCAAGTCTGGGGGATCCAACATTCCCTTTTGAAGCAACATGCCATTTCCACTCCCTATAAGCAGCTTGACCAATAACTCTACCCCATTTCTCTTTCATGTGCCTCTCCCAAAGGTGATCACTCACACACTTCTTCCTCAAGGAACGGCAAACCCCGGCCATTTGACAAAGTGAATCTGCAGGGAGCTTTTCAAAAATGCATTCCAACACCAGCTCTGGCAAGTCCAACACTGACATGGCTTGGGAGTCCTCAATATTCTCCACCTTTGATGTATGAGTCCTCTTCACTAGAGACATTCTTGTGGGAATTTGACAAAGAAAACCGAGCAAAAGGCGATTCCTAAACAACTTAGAGATTGATTTCACGGACAAGTCTATGTAAAACACGGGAGAGATCAACCTGACTTCACCAGCCCATGAAGGAAGTGGTTTGAGAGAAAGGAGAGGCTTTAAAAACAGAAGGAAGGAGATACAAGTGATAAAGTAAAGTAGCATTAGCACTGGTGTCTTTCACAGGTCAGGTTTAAGTTTGGCATGTATTAATATAGAACCTCAATGCCAACTGTGCAACAAATATGGCTAACAAGAGGAAAGAAAACCAAAAACAAAATGACCTCACTACTTGACACAAATGAAACACCCTCCCTTGTTGGAAAGAAACACAAGAACCTTCAAAATAATACTCCTTTTAAAGATGGGTTTTTTATTGGTTGAATGATAGCCCACCAAAACCCAATGGTGGGCCTCCTAGGCCAAAGTTAGATCAGAATAAATTAGGTAGACAACCACACGAATGAACCCTGGAAATAAGCTCACACCTCACAGTAGCTTAATACCAACTCCCTCTCTCTCTCTCTCTTTTATTGGTTTCCAATAAAGAAGAGAGAACAACACAACACAACACAACCGTGTGTAGTCAACCTAAACAGCTATCATTCAATGAAGACCAAAGAATCTGTATACAATGGTCCTTATGAAGAAGGAGCAAGAAATGGAGGTGGGGGCAGCAAGATCTGATAGCAGGTTTTATAACACCTAGAAATGGAATTGAAAAATAAAAAAGATGCAAGGTGAGTCTATATAATAAGAACCAAATCTCTAAAACTTATTGGTAAGTGAATAAATCTTGTGGGAATATAATTTGTGTCTAGCCAGAATAAAATAGATCTAGCTAAGCAGCAAGAGAGCCACACAAGAGCCTCAAGATCCACAAAATCAATGGAACCAAGGCCTCGGGGTGGTGCAGACAGATAGAGAAGAGGATTAAAAAGAGAGTGATGAAGAAAAGGATAATGAATGTGAAGGGAAGGTGGGGCCTCCCCTCACTCCAACAAATTCTTCACCACGCCTCAATTATTATCCTCCCCTCTGCAAATGCAATCACAGAACTCTCTCTCTCTCTCTTTTTCTTCTTGTTGTTGTTGTTGTTGTTCTGTGTGGGGCAATATAGCGAACAATTGGTGGACAATGAAAGGAAAAGGCAGAGTTATTTACTTATTTATGCTATGAATGGGAGGCTGAGGTTACGTTGCGGAACATTTCTACTCTTAACATATCCATGCCATCACCTATTTTCTTCTACATGCAATTATCCAGGGACTCCCATAAAAAATAATATTATAATTAACCGTAAATTTAAAACTATTTTTGAATCTGTTTATTTCCTCTATGAATAGTATTATTTTATTTATTTATCTCTGGAAAATGTTGTACCAAGTTGTAGTTGGAGAGAAATATGTCTGACTACAAAAGGCAACTACATTGGATAATGTATATACGACAAGATTCGTTAATATTAAAGTTCGAGGTTTAGGTAAGGATTCAGATCCACTGCCCCTCTGGCTCTGTCCACTGTAACAAACATGTTCTCGCTCATCACAACAATATCTCAACATTTTTAGTTTTTTACAATTATCAATTCTTCCCTCTATTCCTTTTATCTTCAAAATAAATATTAAATATCTTTCATTAATATTTTTTTGAGGGAATCTTTCATTAATATTAGTTATTATTATATAATGATTTTTTAATCATAAAAATTACAATAATAGTAACAAAATTTAAAATTAAGATCATGCACATATTATCTCATCGTTAATATCATTTTAAATTTGTATGTTTTTAGAATATAATTAAATAAATTAAACATCAGTCATATATCAAATTTACTTCGTGAATTTAAGACCGGATATGCAAGTGATGACACAAGTTTGATCAAATTATAGGAATAAATTATAATTATACATATATATTATACTAATAAAAAAATAAAATAAAAAAACTAACAGCTAAAAGTTTAATTTGCAAAATGGATACATTGAATACGAACTAAAAAAAGTTTGGTTTATTTGTGTACCATGTATTCATGTCAGTATCAAATAATTTAACTAATGTTACATCAAATATATATTATGGGTAAGAATATAATTAACATCTAGCGGAACAAAGAAGTTGAACATTGTGTAATGTCAACTTTTACCACAAGGTCTCTAAATTACTCTGCTTGTTTCTTGCATGTGTTTTTTATTATAAGTTGACTAATAATAGATCACCATTTCACGTGTGTCCACTTAATTATTGGAGACTTATAATTATAATAGGATAGATAGAGACATAGACAAAATATTGATAAAATAAAATAACACTCCCATCTTTTGTTGAAACTTCAATAAAAGAAAAGATCCCCACATAATTAATAAAATATAAGATATGAAATGAAAATAAGAGATAATCTAAAAGTGAAGTTGTTGTTGCTTGATTTGTAGAAAATGGCACCGAAATAGTTAGATGAAAGTAAAGTAATAGTAGAGGGATTGTATTGTATTGTGTGTTAGGGTGAAGGTGAAGTTGTGCACAAGTTGGCATTGGCATTGGACGGTGCAAAGTGCAAACCTAACCTAACCTAACCGCCACACTTGAGAAGCAACTTGCATCCTCAATTTGCCTCTTACTTTATTACCATTAATTCTTACTTTTTTCCTACCAAGTTACACGCCCCGCCAAATATTTCTAATCTATACTCAACACTTATTTTAATCAACACAATCCATCACTATTATTTTTTATAATCCGTTAATGCCTAATATATATATATATATATATATATATATATATATATGGTTTTTTAGCATATCTAAATGTTGGGTTTTTTTTTTTCCTAATAACCTTTTCTATTACTTTCTTTGTTATGGGTCTAAAATTTTTATAACTATCTGTATTTGAATAAGAAATAGAGACTTGATTCCTGTACTAAAGACATGTATGCAGATGGTGGAACCTTGTTAATTATTAGCACCTAGGTTTTTTCTTGTTTTTTTTTGGTCTTTAAATTTGCTGTAGGCTGTTTATTCTCAATAGTAATTAATAATTTGTTTGTGAAAAGTGTGATTATTTAAAATGAAACATTGAATATTGAATTATTGCCCCCCTCCTCCCATCACTTTCAAAGTTTGGTGATTTTGATATTGTGATTGATGTTTTGGGTGGTCCATCACCTCACCATATCCCATAATGGACCGCTTTCATCTTCCTTAATTCTTTCATATATATCAATATTTCTTTTTCTTTTCTTTTTCTTTACATAGACACCAATTGCAATGGATTATGCATCATGCAGCTTTTCACACTTCCCAACCGTACATCAACATGATCATCAATGAAGCAATTGCAACCTGTCTACTTGGCTTTATGCTGAAAACGACACCCATCCTTTTATATATAGATCGGAAG